TCGGCGCCCCCCCCACCACACGCACGTACTTTTACGTGTGAGTAATTCGGCGCCCCCATGTTAGAACCCCTCCCTACACACGCGACACCACGTGCCAAACGCACGCGTGCCAGACGCATTTTCGACACCCCCTGCTCCGCGCGCGGCATGTCGCCAGTAGTAATTTCGAGGGTCTGCTGCTCGAAACCCCTCCGGTCTAGAGCCAAAGAACCGACGGCGCAAAGACATCCTTTGGCGGGAGCACTCAACGGCAAGAAGCAAAATTCGCCGGCCCAGCGGGCCGATGGCGAATCCGCTGGCCTCTTTTGCGAAAAACTTGCGACCCCGAAGCCGCAATCCCTTGCAGATCAAGACGCCCTGGCTCCCATGGGACCACAACCCCTTGCACATCACGCAACCTCCGCGCTCCCCGACCCAAAGTGCCTCTTCTGCGTTACAAGAGACTTGCGCCCCCGAGGCCGCGGCCCCAACTCTCGTAGATTACGACAATCTTGCGCCCTCGAACACGCAACCCCCTTGCAAAGTACTACGCGTTGTCGCTCCTGAGGCCACGAACCCTCCCCGCGGAGGCCACCCAACAACGCCACCCATCTCCACGGCAGGCAACCTCCAATTCTCTGAGTTGGGATGTGCCTTCGGAGGGCGCTTTTCGCCGACCCCGTTGTTTCCTGAGAACCCTCATAAGTAGCGAGGGGGGCGCGGTCCCGAAGCCTCGAACTCTTCAAATTAACAAGGGAAGCGCACATCCGAGGCCACGATCCTTCATTGGTTATTACAGACGCGCGACACCAGCCAGCCAGTAAACAGCCCAATCTGAGGGGGGGTCGGCAGCAGCAGCATCTCGTCAACACCTTCCTGAAAGTCCCTCCGAGGGTGGACCGCTCCTGGGACGCCTCGGGGGCCTCGGGGACAGTCTTGGAGCATTGCTAGGCTGGGCTTCAATCTACTCGGGCCGCCCTCTGGGCATTTGGGGCATGTGGGGCCGATCTTGGGCCGCCAGGGGACGCGATCTTGTGGCCGAGGTCCCGGTCCGAAGAGCCTACCACCGCATATCGTGGTCGTGGCAGCGGCCAAGGGTGCCCCAGTGAGAAAGAGCTGCCCATGCATCTCGAAAGTGATGAGGCGTGGGATTGGAATGAGAGATATAAGAGATATGGCAGCTGTTTTTCTCTTATCGGGCGGATGAGACGAAGCATGGTGCCTCGACAATCGTTACAGCGTAACGACTCGTATTGGCAGTGCACGCCTTGAGCAGATACACGGTATTTACCTCGTATACCATTATCCTGAAAACTACTTTCAAAATGTCTTGGCCCCAGTCCCCCGTTGCATGGCCTGTTGTGGAAATGTTGAATCAAAAACATCTGCATATCTTGCATGCGAACCGCCGGCTTCCGCCCGCAGAGCTACCCTCACTTTGCTTCCGCTGGCTTCCGTCCACCTTCCGCTGCCTTCCGCCGAGGAAGAGACGTGAACTCTTTCGACCCTCGCAAACAAAACCTTTTTTGGCACGCGCCAAATGCATCGCCCGTGTTTTGCCCACGGGAAAAGGGAGGGAGGAGGAGGAGGAGGAAAAGGATGTGGAAGAGGAGCAGGAGCAGGAAGAGCAGGAGGAGCAGGAGAAAAAGGACGACGACGACGACGACGTCGACGGCGACGACGACGACGGTTGGCCTCTCGGGCCACGGCTGCGGTAGGGCACGGGGGGGGGGGCATTTAACAAACGAGGCCTGAGAGAAACGGGTCTTGGGACCCGGGGCCGTCCCCCGAGACCTTAGCTGCCCCGATACACAACACTCATCCAGTAACGTGTTAACGCGGAACTCAACACGTAAACCGAATACGTAGGGCGCGATACGTTCGCCACTACGTGGGCCATCAAAGTCAGCCAACACACAACGTATCCACACGGACGTTTAGAACACGGTTACGTTTTGCGTTTCAAGGCGGGCGTATCAAAGCAGCGAAGCCCAAGACCAACCGTTTTGGTCCAGAGCCTCTTGTAAGCAGCTCCAGCGACCGCGTGGGGGGCCCAGGGGGGCCAGAATTAGCCTTGCAAAGAGCCCAACCATGTGCAGTTGTGAATACCGCAACTGTGCATACGAAGCGAAACTCCCTATGGGGCGACGCCCGTGTGCGGGCTGTGCCGGTGGGACCTTCGGTGGAGTTCCCTGCAGAGCCACGAAAAGTGTGAGAGGTGTGCCGGAAAATTACTCCGACGGTAGGACCCCACATGAGAATATGTTTAGCTTACCCTTTGCCCTTTCCTCCTCCCCCTGGCGGACACCCTCTCCTCTCGCCCCCTGCACTGCCCTCTCTTCCCCCTTTTATTTCTCTTTCTCCTCCTCTTTCTCCTCCTCTTTCTCCTCCTCTTTCTCCTCCTCTTTCTCCTCCTCTTTCTCCTCCTCCTCCTCCTCCTCCTCCTCCTCCTCCTCCTCCTCCTCCTCCTCCTCCTCCTCCTCCTCCTCCTCCTCCTCCTCCTCCTCCTCCTCCTCCTCCTCCTCCTCCTCCTCCTCCTCGCGCCACCTCCTCCTCGTCGTCGGCCTCCCCCATGCCCCTTCCCTCCTCATCCCCCTGCCTTTTCTCCATGTGCACCTCCCCTTCCCCCTCGTCGGGGCAAGCAAATCCATTTTCCTCAGCGCCGTCGCCGCCTCGGCCAGCGCCTCGGGAAGCGGGCCCCATAGGGAGGGGGCTCCCGCCTAAGACTTCCTCACACTTCACTCACAGACGAGGCTCCCGCTCGAGACTTCCTCCATATGCAGGTCTCAAGAGCCCAAAAGTGACGACAGTTGCACGTTTCGGATGACCCGCTCGGATACGAACATGAAGTGCGGGCCCAATAGGGAGGGGGCTCCCGCCTGAGACTTCCTCACAATTCACTCACAGACGAGGCTCCCGCTCGAGATTTCCTCCGTATTCAAGTCTCAAGAGCCCAAAAGTGACGACAGTTGCACGTTTCGGATGACCCACTCGGATTCGAACATGAAGTGCGGGCCCCATAGGGAGGGGGCTCCCGCCTGAGACTTCCTCACAATTCACTCACAGACGATGTTCCCGCTCGAGATTTCCTCCGTATTCAAGGCTCAAGAGCCCAAAAATGACGACAATTGCACGTTTCGGATGACCCGCTCGGATTCGAACATGAAGTGCGGACCCCATAGGGAGGGGGCTCCCGCCTGAGACTTCCTCACAATTCACTCACAGACGAGGCTCCCGCTCGAGACTTCCTCCATACTCAGGTCTCAAGAGCCCAAAAGTGACGACAGTTGCACGTTTCGGATGACCCGCTCGGATTCGAACATGAAGTGCGGGCCCAATAGGGAGGGGGCTCCCGCCTGAGACTTCCTCACCATTCACTCACAGACGAGGCTCCCGCTCGAGACTTCCTCCATATGCAAGTCTCAAGAGCCCAAAAATGACGACAATTGCACGTTTCGGATGACCCGCTCTGAATCGAACATGAAGTGCGGGCCCCATAAGGAGGGGGCTCCCGCCTGAGACTTCCTCACAATTCACTCACAGACGAGGCTCCCGCTCGAGACTTCCTCCATATTCAGGTCTCAAGGGCCCAAAAGTGTGAACGTTTCGGATGACCTGCTCGGATTCGAACATGAAGCGCGGGCCCAATAGGGAGGGGGCTCCCGCCTGAGACTTCCTTACAATTCACTCACAGACGAGGCTCCGGCCTGATACTTCCTCCATATTCAGGCCTCAAGTCAGCGAGTAGTGATGATGATGATGATGATGATGATGATGATGATGATGATGATGATGATCGTTCGATGCCGATGATGGTGAGTGATCGTGCGATGGTCATGGTGATGCTGATGGTGATGATGATGGTGAGTGATCGTGCGATGGTGATGGTTATGATGATGCGGAGGAGGAAGCAAAGAAGAGCAGAGGAGAGGGAGGAGGAGGAGGAGGAGGAGATCCTGCGCGGAGGGTGCGCAGAGAAAACAAGAACCCCACTTAGGATGTGGGGCAAAAGAGAGTTGCCCACATGCGGGCTGCGCCACTGGGCCTGAGGGTGAGTTCCCTGTGGGGCCAGGAACTGTGTCAGGGGTGTGCCGAAACGAGGATGTCGCCCGCATGCGAACGGTGCCACGTGGGCCTTAGCTGGAGCCCCCTCATGAGGCCACAAAACGTGTGAGGGGTGTGCCGAAACGGGAGCGACGTCCACATGCGAACGATGCCACTGAGGCCTTAGCTGGACCTCCCTGTGGTGCCACAAAACGTGCGATGGGTGTGCCGACATGGGAGCGGTGGCGCCATGCGAACCCTGGCGTTGGGGCCTTCGGCGGAGCTCCCTATGCGGCCACAAAACGTGTCAAGGCTGCGCCGACATGAGTGCGGTGGCGCCACGCGAACCCTGTCGCTGGGGCCTTCGGCGGAGCTCCCTGTGGGGCCACGGCGGAACGTGTGACGGTTGTGCTGAAATAGGCGCGGTGGCGCCATGCGAACCCTGCCGCTGGTGCCTTCGGCGGAGCTCCCTGTGGAGCCACGGAACGTGCGAGGGGTGCGCCAACGTGGGCGCGGTGGCGCCATGCGAACCCTGCCGTCGGGGCCTTCGGTCGAGCGTCTTATGGGGCCACGAAACATGTCAGGGGTGTGCCGACATGAGTTCGGTGGCGCCATGCGAACCCTGCCGTTAAGGCATTTCTTACAGCTGCGCCCCACGCGAGCTCGGTCCTGGGGTGGCTCCAGGGTGTGCGCCGTCACCAGGGGCGCCCGCGCGGGGCGCCCACCTGGCCGTGCCAGCCCTAAACGGGGCCAGACCACCGAAGGCACTTCCCTTGACACCGCCGCCACCGCAGGGGCCGAGGCTGACGAATGCTCGGCTTGCTCTACTGAGATCTGCGGCATCACGTGGGGCATCCCCGCGGGGCACCCTGCAGGCTGTGCCACCCTCCAAAGTGGGCAGTCCACCGAAGCCACTCCTCAGGAGCCAAAAGCGGAGAGAGCCACCGGGCGCAAGGCGCGCCACCCGTGAGCGCGGGCTAAAGGGCGCTGGCAGGCCTCCAGCTCACGGACTCCAGCATTTGCCGAAGCTGCTCGCTGAGCCGGGGCTCGTAGTCAGCCGCCTGGCGGATGAGGCCGTCGGCCACCACGAAGACCTCCTCAGGGCCGACCACCGAGGCCGCAGCTCCGCCTACAGCAGGCGCAGCCACCGCGAGCGCCGCACCCAGCTCCGCCGCCGCCTTTGCCCGAGGACGCCTGGGACCGCGCCGCCGCCGCGCGGCTCCGTCGGCCTGGCCGTCGCACCCGAGGCCGCACCCCGCAGCACCAGCAGCTCCTCCAGTTCCGCGCGCTGGATCCGCCGCCTCCGCTGCGGCAGCGGCCCCGTTCGAGGGAGGCGGGCGGGCCTCCGCAGCGGCCGCCACCGCCCCACCATTGGGGAATCGCACGAGCCCGTCGGCCCATGCGTCGTCGAAGTCCTCCATCTCCGCGTCGGCAGCCTCCACCTCCACAGCGGCCACGGGGGCGAGCGCGAGGCCGGCACCAGCAGCGGCAGCAGCGGCTCCAGCAGTCTGCCCAAAGCCCTCGCCTGCGGCTGCAGGGGGCGCCGCGGCGGCCTTCCGCGCCGCGCGGCGCTGTCGGCGGCGCCGACGCCGAGCGGCGAGCGCCGTCGGGTCGGCCACAGCAGCACCGGCGCGGCCCGGAACACCAGGGCGAGGAACAGGAGGTGGCGCCCCAGCGCCAGCGGCGGCGGCGGGCGGTGGCGGCGCCGCGACGGCGAAGGCCGCCGCCGAAACCGCAGACCGCGCAACCGCCGCCACCGTGCGCCTCGTCGCCCCGAGCGCCCCGCGCACAGCCGCCTCGACGAGGCGGGAAGCTGTCACGGGATCCAGAGCCCCTCTAGGCAGCGCCATCACACGGACGGAGGCGCGGCCGTGCGAACGCTTGAGCCAGAATGTGCCACTTGAGCCAAAATGGCTACGGAGTGCCGTTGGTGCCTTCGGTGGAGCTCCGTATGGGGCCACCGAACGTGTCAAGGCTGTGCCGACATGAGTGCGGTGGCGCCATGCGATACCTGCCACTGGGACCTTCGGCGGAACTCCCTATGGAGCCACGGAACGTGAAATGGGTGTGCCGACATGAGTGCGGTGGCGCTATGCGAGCCCTGCCACTGGGGCCTTCAGCGGAGCTCCCCATGGGGCCACGAAGCGTGTGAGAGGTGTACCGACATGGGTGCGGTGGCACCATGCGAACCCTGCCACTGGGGCCTTCGGCGGAATTCCCTATGGAGCCACGGAACGTGTCAAGGCTGTGCCGACATCAGTGCGGTGGCGCTATGCGAACCCTGCCACTGGGGCCTTCGGCGGAGATCCCTAACGTGTGACGGCTGTGCTGAAATAGGTGCGGTGGCGCCATGCGACCCCTGCCGTTGGGGCCTTCGGCGGAGCTCCCTCTGGGGCCACGATGCGTGTGAGAGGTGTACCGACATGGGTGCGGTGGCACCATGCGAACCCTGCCACTGGGGCCTTCGGCGGAGCTCCCTATAGGGCCACTAAACGTGTGAGAGGTGTACCGCGCGGTGGCGCCATGCGAACCGGGCCACTGGTGCCTTCGGTGGAGCTCCCTATGGGGACTCGAAACGTGTGGGGGGTGTGCCGAAATGGGCGCGGTGGCGCCATGCGAACCTTGCCACTTGGGCCTTCGGTCGAGCTTCCCATTGGGCCACGAAACGTGTAAGGGCTGCGGCGAAACAGAGACATGCGAAGAGCAAAAGCGAGGAGGGGGAAGGGAGGAGGGGAGGGGCAGGATGAGAAGAGCGGAGAGGAGCGGAGAGGAGAGGAGAGACGGAGGAACGCGGGGCGTTGTCTCGTCAAAACGAGGACCCAACACCACAGGATGGTAGGGAAAAACGAGTTCGATGACGACGCAGACTGCACGGCGGCGCCGGCGACGACCACGACGACCGCACTGCGGTGACGACGACCACCACCACCAGCACCAACAACACCACGGCAACGACGACGACGACGACGATGACGCCGACGACCGCGCGACAACGACGACGATGACGACGACGACGACGACGATGACGACGGCGACCGCCAGGCAGCGGCATCGACGAAGTCGACGGCGTCAGGGCCCGGTCGCTTCGTGGCGGGGAGGGGTGGCTGCCTGCCGCTTCGAGGCGACCACGCCAGAGCTGAGGAGCCGCGCGTGGGCGACGTGCACGTGCACCAGCATGACGGCCGTGCCTCCCGCCCGGTCGACCGAGGGGGAACGGTAGTGCAAGAGAAAGGTTATCCGAAGGGCCGATCCCCATCCCGAGTATCCGTCGGTAAAGGCAGCGACGGTGAATGATGGAAGATGATGAATATTTTACCCCTCTCCAATGTCCAACAGTCAGTGCGTCTTAGCCGATAGGCTGGCCTATTCCTGCGAGCCGACAGGGGCGGCGGGTACAGTACAGGAGAGGAGACGTATGGGGGTTCATTCACAACGGTAGGGGGGACCGGCTCAGGGGAATCATTGAGCTGGAGTCGGCGATTCATGGCCAGCAGACCGGTGATGGGCCCCTGGGAACGAATCCGAACGCCCCCTATCAGGCCCCCGTCGGCGATCAGTGGGCGATTGGGGATCGATGCGTTGCTCCCTGAGCCGATCCATCCCTAACATTGCCACTCATGGGCAGGATCGGGGGCCGAGGTTCGAGGTTCGAGATTCTTCGAGGATCGAGGTTCAGGGATCGAGCTGGGATCGAGGATCGACGTGTTGGAGGACTTCCTTGTCACCGTGGCAGATGTAGCAGAGGCGGGTCGAGGATCGAGGACGACCGACGTTCTGGGAGGCTTCTTGCCGTTTGGCAAGTGCAGCAGAGGCAGTTCTTGCAATCTGGTAGGGAGGCCGCAGAACTCGAGGCTCCAGCTTTTTACGCCTCGCGGTCTGGCATCGCGGGATCGTAAACACGAAGCCGACTACCCGTTTCCAAATGTTCTGTTCTGGTCTGGTGAAAACGGCTGTGAAAACAGCTGTGAAAAGGAGTGTGAACAAGTGTGAACACAAATCAGAAACATAGCCACGTGTGAAAATACAGACAAATGGCCGCTGGCTTCTCCAACACGAACCCGCAAGAAATCCCACCTGCCATCTGGGCGTGGGTGGTTTAGTAAGCTCATGATTCAACTCCCCTTTTTCTCCTTCCGGAATGGGTTTATCACTGATCCTTGTGAATACGCAGACCTACCACCACCTTACTGGCCCCGAGCTAAGGCCAACGCCAGACCCACTCCTCCAACCCTGTCAAACATGCACACACAAACTAAGTAAAAACGTTGTGGTTAAATCTGGATCATGTTCGTGCGCCCTGCGATCACCACGCACTGTTCTTTGACAGGGACGAAGGGGGTGTCAGCACCCAGGACATGACCACCCCTGGCAAAGACCAATGCAAAGTGCAAGCTGCAGCAAAATCCTGAACAATGCGCGGACGCCCCAGGATCATTCTGCGTCGCTATCTGAAGAGGGTACTGGGGGTGCCCTGGCACACGCGGCGCACCTCGCGAGCGTCGCGCACCTGGCTGGCGTACTTGCTGATGTCCGGTGGTCGTCGATGGTGGCCCCTGCTTACGCTGAGACTCGGGTGCTACAGGCCTCGGAAAAAAAAAAACGAACACTCATGCCACATTCATCTGTGAACGTCTCCCTCCCCCCAAATGTTCAAAGTTGGCGGTGGGTCTGATGAGTTGCACCTCGACCGCAGTCTCCCCCGCGCGTGCCAACCTTGAGTTTGGGGGGGCAGGGGGGGTGTTCACTAACTGTTTCTCTCTACCGTACTTATGTGGTGGGCGGGTCGGAGTGAGCGAGACGGCCGTCCTTCGGGGGGGGGTAGCTTGATCAATATCCCCTATGTATAAACACCACCTCCCCATAACCCCTTCCCTGGGGTCGGGACCAGGATCTAGCGAGGACTTAGGGCGTCAACGATGGCCAAGTACAGCTCCCAAGTTGTCCCAGATAACCCAAGATTCCTTCACATATGACACACAAGAGCCCAAGACGGTTCAAGGTGGAGTACAACATGCCTCCAAGAGCCTCCAATACCGGCATAGAGCCTCTCAGTGAAACCTCCAAGATGTTAGTCCCATCCAAACGCACACTTGCAAGTGTTGAGTGTGTCTGGCCTTCTCGCCGTTTCGCTTCCGATGAGACCGTGACGCCTCAAGATGGCCCAATGATCGCCCAAGAGAGCCCGAAGAGAAAGCCATATGGGCGCCAAGATGGCCCCAAGAGCGCCCAATGACGCCCCAAGAGCGTCCTGAGAGGGCCCCCAAAGGTGTATGTGTCCTTCTGGATCCGACGGTGGTGAAGACATAAGCAGCGCCTCTGGCTGGATCGATGGCGTGCTGGATCGGCCCGGCAGGGTCCCGAAGGACCCCAGGAGGGCCTCAGGTCAGCCCCAAGAGGGCCCCACAAGATGCTGCCAACATGTCCCCGAGAGATCCCCAAATGGTCCCAATAAGCTGCTAAGAGACTCCCGCATCGAATGGTTGACTCCTGGGTCTGCTCAGACTGACCCAAAGCTTCAATTTGACGGCTGCCCATTCTTTCCCACTGCTTGCGCCTTCACGTCCCTGCTCAAGGCAACTCGCCTGAGCATCGTTTCTGGATGGACTGGTGGGGACAAGCGAAGCGACAAGAATTTGAATGAACGTACAGTTGGGGCACTGCCTCAACCGACGCTTCGCGGTCTGCACAATAATGGAATGGCATCGGAAACGCCGTGCTTTGAACTCGGGTGAAATGCGGATGCACCGAACCCAGATCAGAATCCGCCAACGAAACGCAAGACGGCAGATCTCAACCAGATTTCACTCTGCCGGCTGGCCTGGCCAACTCCTGGGCCCCAAAAACCCTTTGGGGTGCTCCAGTGACCTTTTCGGGGGGAGCCCTGCAGAGACGTCGTAGTCGTCGCTGTCCTCGTCGCCGTCGTCGCCGCCGTGCCGTGCCTCACGATGCCAAGTTAGATGCTCGTTCTGGAGACCTTTCTGGAGCCACTCGCTAAACTCATGCGTCGATGCTGGATCGAACGTCCGCCGACATGAGTCGAACCTGAGTCGAGCTAGAGTTGAACTAACCAGGGTCGAATCAGAGTCAAACAGGTCAGTTAGGTGGGCCCCAGGGAGGTCTTCCAAACGAACACCTGAGCCAACTGTTGCATTCAACCCTCGAAGCCGGAACGCTCTCTGATCTTTTTTGGGAGGCGACCCGCGGGTTTTGGCTGCCCCTCTCTCTGGGCCTCAGGCTCGGGGCATGGGAACCTCGAGGGATCTCTGGTGATTTCTTGGGATTGTCATAATCGTCGTCGTCGTCGGCGGCGTCGTCGTCGCCGCCGTCGCCGTCGCTGTCGCCGTCGCCGTCGCCTTCGCCCTCGCCGTCGCCGTCGCGGTCGGCGTCGCCGTCACCGTCGTTCGTCATCGTCGCCGTCGGCGTCGTCGCCGTCGCCGTCGCCGTCGCCGTCGCTGGCGACGTCGTCGCCGTCTCCTTCTCATCCTCCGCCTGGGGGGGGAGGGGAGGGGGAGGAGGGAAAGGGAGGAGGGGACGGAGAGGAACAGGGGAAGAGGGGGAGGGAGACAGCCGGGGGACGCGTTTAGCTTCTGCTCGGAGCAGCTGGCAGGATGAGCGCCTGAGACAGAAACTGCGAGCCATGGTAGAAAGGGACGAGGAGGAGGGAGAGGGGAGGGGGGGAGGAGTAGAAGGACCGATGTCCTCTTGACTTTGTCCGGAAGAGGATGACGAGGAGTGGGGGGGAAGGATGACGAGAGGGGGTATGAGGAGGAGGGGGAGGAAGAGGAGGGATGAAGGGGGATGAGGCGAATGAGGGGAAGGAGGGGGAAGCGGGAGGGGAGTAGGGAGAGGTGGAGGAGGGGGAAGAGTAGGGGAGAGAGGCGGGGGGGTAAGGAGAAGGGGAGGGGGTAGAAGGACCGATGCTCTTTTTGGCTATGATCAGCTCCCGTTCGCAGGAAGACGAGAAGTTCCTCCACGCCGTGGTCCGGTGCTGTGGATGGCTCCTGTCCCTCGAGTTCCCAGGGAGCCCCAGAGCCACCTCCTCCACCGCCGTGGCAGGCTCGGGACGGAGGAGAAGGGGGAGGTTGGACAGTAGACACGCACGATGAGAAATCCTGCAATCAGGTGTCTGGGTGGCACACCCTTCGTCGACTCTGAGCTTTGCAAGGTGCCCCAGGGCTCTGCGTCCCCATCGGGAGATAAAGAACTCATCATGGAGCACCGGTTGGCAGGCCAGCTTCATGCTGGGTGTGCCTACTGTAGGTGGGGGGCGGGCAGGGCATCAGCTTGCGCAGCTGGCTCTCTCAGCGCCTCCCAGCGCCCATCGCATCGAGGAGAGGCGCTCGGCGGCGGAGCCGAGACCAGCGGCACGCAGCAAATGTCGCAAGCCCCACCCGGGGCGGCCACGGAGCGCACCGAGCCACGAGATCTGGGGGAACTCGTGGCCGCGGCCGTGGTACAGTCAACCCGTAATTACAATAAGGACGCACGATGAGGATGCAAAGGGCCTTGGAAGGCCATGTCGACACTCGACACTTTGCAAGCGGGGCGCGGCCAGCGAGGTCGGCCACTGTACCCACACACCCATCCCTGGTCCCCCCCCCTCCTTGAACGCCCCCGACACCGCCGCCCTGGCACGATGGGTCAACATCGAGTCAGGAAGACGGATCGGATCGCAGTGTGCATCGAGTCGGGCCGCACCGGCACGGAGCCACAGTCGAATCGGATCGGCCACGCGAGGGTGCACCACGACGCCGTGCGAGCATCGGGCTTCATCGGATCGTCGGGAGGTCGGAAGCGGATCGGATCGGATCGGAACGGGCCGAAGCCGATGCCGATCGGATCGATCAAATCTGACTGGGCCCTGCCGTGGTGCCCTGGCCTCCCTCGGCGGAGGCCGCGAACCCGGGGGTTCCAGATCGCGCCGCGTCGCCGATGCAGCGGCTATGCGGCGCGATTTCCCGGCCCCGTCCGTGGCAGTCACGCGCGGGCGGCCCGGAGGGGGCCAGGGGGGGCCAGGCCCACACAGAGGGAGATGCCTGCTTTGTGTTTGCACTGTGAGATCCCTCGGGGACCTGCTGGCCCAGGCCACGTTTGAAGGGGGCTGGGAGGCCCAACCAGCAGCTTCGCCTAAGGCGAAGCCCATATCCAACTCTGTTATGCCGTAGCAACGATAGTCCCAGAAGTAGGA